GACACAGGACACGCTGGAGAGATTATATCTGTCAGCTGGCCTGGGAACGCATCGGTGTTCCCCTGGATAAGCTGGAGGAGGTGGCTGGGCAGAGGGAGGTCTGGTTGCTTACTTAGGCTGCTGCCTCCACGATCCAGCCCAAGATCAGCCAAACCAAATGCATGGATGGAGTTTTATTTTATTTTTGTTAGTTTTCTGCTTAAAAGAACATTTTCACTGGTGGAATATGAACCACGGTCCACTGTGGTCTGACAATGTGTCCGCCTGCAACACAAAACTGGCTTGACCTCAATCACGAAGCCCTGATGCTGTTTTTCGCCTGCTGTCTCGGGGTCGAATTTTCATAGATTTTGTATGATACATTTTCCCTTTCATATGCATCTTTATAGCTTTATAAAAAAGATGCATGATACGAGTTTTGTTCTGGACATAAAACCAGATTTAACGCTACGAAAAACTCATCAGGTCACGATCAAGTTTGGTCTGTTAAATCCCAGATTTGTGCTTTTGTAACATCAGGTGATGACTCTGAACTTTTCTTTTTAATCTTATTTTCTTTCTGCAGCAGTTTTAATGATGTTTCCACATGTTTGAACCCATAACAGACAAATAACACAAAGCAAAGAGCTACTTTGGTTTTGTTTTTCTGAAGCCTGAAATATGCACAACATCAGACAAACACACGTCTCTATAAGGAAATCACTATTTAGGTTTTTGCACAAGAAGGGTTAGTCCTGTTAAGGCTCCCATTCAGGATCGAAAAAGTCATGAATCTGAAAATATGATGAGGTCACAGCATAATTAAACCTCAGAGAGCTCCAGCTGACTGCGGCAGTGAGTGGCTGTAGGTCTCCTTTGGTGTGTGGACGCACAGCTGACATATCCTGACATAATGACGATCAGCACGTGCAGCTGGCTGACAGCACGTTGTGCGCATTTAGTGTGATGGGAAAAGAAACTCGAGTTGTTTTGTTATCTTACAAACTTTCATTCATTAAGACTGTTGTGATTTTGCGCGATATAAATAAAAGTGACTGAATTTAATAAAGTGACTTATTCAGTTTGGGGGTTTCATGTAGCTTTAAAATGTTTTGCCGGATAAGCGTTCCTCATCTGCCCACGCTTCAGTAACCACGCGGCCTCCAGGTGTGATGAGTGTGTGCAGGTACTCACTCATTCTCGAGCAGGGTCATGCACACCACCTCCCTGACCCCCGGGTTGTTAGCCTTGTCGCACGAGCAGCCCTGCAGGCTCCAGGTGGCCACGCGCACTACGGACTTCCCGTCCCGGAGCCCCAGCGGGCGATCCACCTTCGGCCGCACAGAGACGATCTGGGTCGGGCCTCCAGGTGGGAGGTCCAAGTCGTCGCTGCCCAGACTAAAGGAAGAGGGGCTCGGGTGACACTTGGTGGTGCCGGGGAGCCCCGCGTTCGTGTTGGTGGACGGTGCCCGGGAGCGCTCCACGAAAACTTGGAACCGGATCTTGTCGAGCAGCGAGCTGTTGATGTGTTTCACCTTCACCAGGTCCTCGATGCTTTTAAACGGGCCGTGCTGCGCGCGATACGAAACCACGTTCTTTGCGATCGTTTCCGTGATTCCTCGAATGCTCATGAGCTGCGCCGGGGTGGCGGTGTTGATGTTCATGCCGGTGTAGAGCTGAGAGTCCAAGTCTTTGCGCAGTGACGACGGAGAGTGTTGGGAAGAACTGGTCCTACTGGAAACGCAGATTTCCAGTTTGATCACCTCCAGCTTGGTGGCCCCGACCCCGCTTACCAGCGCCAGGTCCTCCACCTTTTTAAAGCCACCGATACAGTCCCGGTACTGCACGATATTCCGCGCAACTGTGCGATTAACTCCCGGCAGAGTCATGAGCTCCTCCTCGGTGGCGATGTTAATGTTCAGCCGCTCTTGGTTCACCAGAATGTGGCTGAAGTTGCAGGCGGCGCTGAATTTGCGCTTGCCGCAGCTGAAATCAGTGGGGTCTTTGGGGATGGAGCGGTGGCAACCCAGACTCCCACCCATGGCTAGGATCGGTGCAGTGGACAGGCAGAGGCCCGCGCCGGAGAGTACGTTGTGAAACACGGCGGTTACACGGCAGCGTTCATTGAAGATAATATTGGACATACGCACCGCCCGAGCTGCGCTCAGCCCTGGTTCACGCCGCACACAGCAGTCCTCAGTCACCAGCGGCAGATCAGAGCAGGCAAACTTTGCCCTACGGTATTGCGCAGTGTGACCGCCCACGGGTCAGCCTCCACCTCACTCGCCTTTGGTCACATCAATACAAATCGTTGCCGGAGAAATCTGTCAAGTGCCCAGCTCCACACCGGCGCACACCGGAGTACTTGTCAGATTTCAAAATAAAAGCAGCCATCAGCGTCACTGGTTCACACATAAATACACAGTGTAGGAATAACCAACAGATACATTAACGCGGGTTAATAATGATTTTATTTCACATTTAACAATTTATATTTACTCATCTTATGCATCAAAGTAATCAGATTACCTGTTGTTCATTTACACATCGCTATTCATGTAATACTGTGGGTGAGGTTTTGTCTAATCAGGATTTGGCCCGATGAAATTATTTATTTATTTATTTACTTGTAGTTTTATTTTTACACTGTGTAACTTACGTCAATCGTTTCTATAAAACAACAACATATGACTACTTCAGCTATGTTATCATAACACTCATTACATTTAGAAATTGAAGCCGGGAGGTTTTTCCTGGCGTTTGACGTTTATTTTGAAATGTCTGGTTTGCTGTTTCAGCCGTTAACAGTAGGGGGCGTGTCTTTCTCTGTGATATCTAAACGTTTTCTGTCACTGAGGAAGAGGATCTGATAATATACAATCATGTAAATTGTTTTAAGGGCTGCAGCCAAACGTAGATTTGGTTTTCTTTAGGATTAATCATTTATTTTTCCGTCGAGCTCGGCTTTTCTAAATACACAGAAATGTTGCTGCTGCAGCTCAGTGCAGGATTTTTTCTTGACTTCATAATTGTATTATTTTTAAGTTATTCCAAAGTGAAATGAATATTAAATGCTGTTTTATACAAAAAGATTCTGAGAGGTGTGATATGAAGTTTTCAAGATAATTTGTGTCACAAAATCACTATTTTAACCTCCTGAGCGAACTTATGCTGGATACTTCAAGCTGTTTGTCACATGTCCAGAGTGATCGACTCATGGGTTTCTCTCTCTCTTGTTCTCCTTAGAAAAATGATGTAACCTCCAAAATGTGACCAAATCATTAATTTTTGAAGTTATTGGTGAGGCAACAATGTAACACCCCTCTGTGTGTAGGACTTAATAATCATCATAATAATAGTAATGGTTGGATTCTGTAGTGTCTGTTATGCTTGTTGTGGCATGTATCGCCTCCAGCGCTGCACAGAGATGCAATCAGCTCAGTGGAACAACAGTTATTATATTTTCTGGCTGCTTGTTAAACCATTTTTTCTCACCAAAATACTAAAGCTCTCCCCTTTCAAGTGATTGAATGGACTCGGTCCGACTTCTGAACCAACAGAGCGGGAAAAGAAGAGGAACATTTGTCGTCTTCATAATTATTGTCAGTGTTTCTTCACTTTTCTACTTGTGCAGCTTTCCAGTTGCCTCTTCTCCAGCACAGCGCTCCTGTCAGGTCAGGAGGCATTATTAGGTGATGGAGATCTGCTGTGTTGGTCAGCCTCCCCTGACACCACACTCTGAACTTCCTTCTCCACCCCTCCCCTGCAGCTGAGCTGCAAACCACACCCCATCGCAGATAGGAATGCCACTTTAGTGCCCAATGTTTTTTCATCAATGACTTTTTGGAACCAGGCGGCACGGTGGTTAGCACTGTTGCTGCACAGCAAGAAGGTCCTGAGTTCAATTCCAGGCTGGGGTCTTTCTGTGTGGAGTTTGCATGTTCTCCCCCCTCTCTGATGTAGCTTAGTGAAAACTCGCAGCACCTCCAACAGCAGCAAATGAATCAAGTCTGTTGTCTCTAAACATCCATAAAATATTCAGTTTTATTAACAAGGAAACAAACAAACCAAAAGCAGGAGCCGCTCACACAGGGAGGGGTAAACGTGAATCTCACAAATGTCACGGTCGCCTTTCCCCACAGACACAGACCGACTGTTAAACCTGTGAAAGCTGACTGAAGGAAAGATTCCTCCTGCTTTACCCTCCAAGATAAACAGTTAATTTTGCTGCTACAGTCTAAAAACAGAGCAAGACCAAAGTCACACATCATAAAACAATGAAAAGCACACGAGTCTGTTATTATCCATCGTCCTAAGTAAACGTATATGAGCCAAATCCAGCCATCATGACTTTTCACACATGATCAGCAGAATTAAAATATTTAATGAAATCCTTTAAAAGGTGACATTGAGCTCAGTGCTTCACTGTTGCCTTTAAACGTTTACATCCACACATGTGGGGACAAAAAACCTTTTTGAATATAAATATGATGGAGCGAGCAGCAAAGGAAACTTAGGCAAAGAAGATTTTTTTATTTAACACAAAAAGGGTAAAAACACACAAACCTAACTGAAGCTAACATAATGAAGTCCACAGAGTCCAGCTTTTGTTTGAACAAGTCAGTAAGAAAGACAAACTCAAGGCTTCATACAGTCGATAAATCACTCAAATGTCTCTTTGGAAAACTGTTGTGTGAACACATCTGGACAGAGATTGATTAGTGTCACGGTCTGGCTGGCAGACCGTGGGGATATGGGGGAATGAGGACCCACAACGCATGGTTCTGCGATGCAAACAGTGCACTTTATTTACAGTGAAGGCTGTAAACACAATAACTCCCCGTTGCTCCCTTGAATCCTGTGTGTGTGCTCCCCTCCGACGTCTGTGCTCGTGCTCCCCGCTGTTGTGTTCTCGCACACCCTGTGCGTGCTGCCGTTCTGGTCCACTCTTCCTCCTGGGGGGGAAACCACAAAAACAGCCATTAACACCAACCCTGGCGGGCA